TGATGAATGTGATGATGCCAATGCTGATGAAAATGATGTTGATGGCTGAGAGTTGGGAAATGGATCGGATGATAGAGATGAGGCGGTGGATGGTACATATGGGTCCTGATTAAAATGCAACAATGAGTGGTGCTTCATTCGACAGTATCTGCAGTGCGTTGACTTGCAGTGCTGCAACCTATGCCCCTTGCGCAAACAGTTGAGGCATAGGTGCAACTTCTTTGCTTCTCTAAATCGAAGATTCGGGCTCAAATTTAGAAATCGAGAGCATTTTGGCAAATAATGATCGCTCGCATCACAAAACGTACATAGGGGAAGATTTGAGCTACCAACTGAAGCAATAAAGCTATACCCATGCAGGGCTTTTCCCATCTGCCGGCTTGGTATTTGCGTTGCCAAGGCTTGATCCGAATTTTCCATAATCCTACACCTCCTTTGCAAGAACGACTCCATAGAATCCCACGTAGCTAGGTTGTTGATGGACAAATCCTCTTCCCATTTTTCCCGCGTCCTCTGATCGAGCTTCCGTGCGACTATGTGAATCAGCAATCCGTCCAAGATTTGTTGCGTAGTGGCCAGGGTACGGATTGCTCGCAGATGCGAATTCATGCAATCGCTTAACTCCTGAAGACCCTTGGCTGATCCCTTCTCGACACCTTTTAACCCAAATATTGCCTGTACGTGTGCCTGAAAATGTAGAACTTTATTATCGAATCGATTTATAAGTAAATCCAAAGCCTTTCTATAATTGGCATTCGAGGGCTCAAGCGAACGTATGGTCTCTAGAGCCACGCCACCTAAACTTGACCTTAGATATTGTAATTTTTCAATATCACTTAGCTCTTCGTCGTTCCGATGACCGTGCTGAACGTTGCAATAAAATCCGGCCAATCAGAGTAGGATCTATGGAACCGAGCTATCTCCAAAATTGGCAATCGAGGCTTCCTAGATCGGAAAGAAAGATCCGGATGATTAATAATGTCGATGGATGTTGAATTTGCAGCGGTTGCAGCCGGCAATTGAGATTTGCGAAGCGCCGCTAATCCTCGATTTATCTTCGCCTTCACATCCCTGAACGCCGTGGAGAATTCAATCCGATGGTCGCTTGCTATCTCCGAAAAGTCAAATTTTTCCAGCGAAGTCTGTGCGGAATCAAAGGCCAAATTTAATGAATTAATCCACTCCAGTCACGCCAGTAAATCAGCTTCATCAAACTGATCTACAGTCTTCAGATTTATGTAATAATTCATCGAGCTCAATTGCCGCAAAAGGGATTGGGCCTTGGCTCGGTAGAAGTCCACGTCACTTGATGCTGAACCGAATTTTCCGTGTTAGACATCTTTATTTTCTCACGCGAAAAGAATTAATGAAGGGAAAATGTCTGACCGCTTCGGTATATAGGAACCCTTTTAGTTTTCACCGCGCAAATTAGAGGTTAATCAGCGTCACCGAGATGCAACGGAACCTCGACAATGTTGTTGTTGCAATTGTCTGCCTCAAAACAACGGAGTTTTGGCACACGCACGTCTATGCTATATATGCATAGGTATATATATGTTCAGTAGGCGCTATTTACGACGCTTAAGCGCGAGCCCCCTTTCTATACAATATTTGGCACAACACAGCTTTTGTTTATCAGCGCGATTTAACCGAAAATCAGCGGCCGGCTTTATGCACTCAGCTTGTTATGTACAAGGTATGTGTGTATGTGAGTTTGCTTGTGTGCTTATGACCGAATGCCAGTAAGCGACAGCGAAGCAAAGCGATTTGTTTAAACGATATTAAACAACGAACACCGGGTTGCAGGCTCCGAACCAAAGAATCACGTCGGGGTCACCAAAATGTTTATGGGGAAGACAACAAATTTGCCACCCTTTAGCAATAATTACAACGCACGAATAGGTTAATTAAATGCTGTGTATATTTCGTTCAGTCCTCTGATCGGAGGTGCAACTACCGATCGAATGCTTAGTTTCAATATATATATATATCAAAACGCTTACAATGTAGCTTAGCTTAAGATAAGGCGACAGAAGAAGAAGAGAGAGAGAGAAATAGATAAAAAAGAGAAAAGCTAAGAGCGCAGCAGGGGCAGCCATACACCCATGCGCGCTCATTTAGGCGCTAGCGGTCTGCTCCGAACATAAACATTGGCCCTCACACAGGCTGTGCTAGTGTCAGCATAAATGCAACACGAGCGGACCTCATGAATGTATGTGCATATACCTCCGCGCTCAGCCTTAGCGAGCATAGCTATGTATTTAAGAATATATGATATAACCGTCTCTCCGCTGCCGCTATTGGCAGCGCAGCTACGAGACTTAGATTGCTTTAGCCGTTAAAACATATTGATAAGTGTAGCGCTTGCTCGGTATAAGATACTTTTATTAGCGCCATATGTTGGTCGATCATATGTCGAAAGGCGGCTTTGCCAGTGTAGCAAGCGTAGGTCGACCAGGGCACGAAAGATCGGGTGAGAGAGTAACAGAGGCATTTGTCAACGGTCTCCCCGTATCCCCCACTTTCACATTGGGTTACCGCCACTTTTCCGGCGTCATCTTCCAGCATTCCATTTTTGGTTGCTGAAGTGTAGTGACTCCTATCTTGTTCGACTGGTTGGCAAATTTTTGATTCTATTCGCAAGTGTTTAAAGTGCCGAGAATACAATTTTAGTTGTTGGCCACCGAGCCGCGTACAAAGGTGAGCGTATAGAAGAGGGGAAAGCATAGGCAGCGTGAATTTATTTGAGAATTTTATAGGCTGCAGTTTGTACAGGCAGGCTAAGAAACGATGCCGGCGCAGCTTCTTGGATCATTTAAGCGCCTGGAGCTAAATTCCTGGACGAGGACATCCCCGTCGCCCCGCTCAGCAGAGCTGGGGAAAAATATTCTTTTTTAAATTTATGTGGTTGAAGAATAATTAGTCGCCGAATGCTGTAGAACGACCTTTGTCCCCTTTGCGAACAGCTCTAGAGAGCACAACTAAGCAAGAGAATTCGTTAGCAGTCGTACGAGCTTTTATGCCAGAGTCGGCATTGCAATCAGTCTCATGTAATTTGTTCGAGCGTTTGAACTCGCCGCCGCCATGCGATCCCGGCCAATGAATGGTTAACTTGAGCCCCATGCCCCATCGCGACGAATACTTGCGGAAAAAGGGAATTTTCGAGCTCCAAATTTAGTCCGGCATTAGTGAACAAATTTGGAAAATTGAGTGTAAGAGAGAATAGAAAATTATAAGTTAGGTTAATTTGCGGAAAAATTGCGGCGAAGAAAATGAACCTATGTATTTGTAAAGATTAATGTGCGGCAAAGAGGAAAAAAATCAAATTAAATAGCGCGCGCCGAATGCGTCATTTTCTGGTATTTTACCCCTATCTTCGTATTCTCTTTTAGGGCATCCCCTTTGGAGGTGAATCTCTTTTTTTTTGCATGTGTTATTTCCTCCCAATTTTCAGCTAGCTTCCGAGGAAAGTGCTTTCATCGGTGGAGTTAAGAAAATGGTGAGTGTTGCGGTAATAATTTAAATAATTTCGAGTAAAAAGGGAAATAAATTAAAAGAAAGAGAATATCCCAAATCATGAGCCGTTAATGTAAAAGAAAGAAACGAAAATTTGACCGAACCAACGGCGGAAAACGAAGAGGGAAGGGGAAAAGAAAAGAACGCCGATACATAAGGCGATTGCGCTTAAGGCTATTTATGCTGAGAGCTTTTATGCTTCTCCTTATCTAATTGTTGTTTTGTTATTGCAACATGTATGTTGAATTTCAGTCAGCGTAAATATTTTCTTCAACTTGCCTTAAATTGCTTTGCCGTTATTCCTTTGTATTTTAAGTTGTAATGTTTAATTGTCAATCTACGTTTTCTATTTCAAGTAATGAATTTACATTTTTCTAGTTTTAAATAAAATTATTATAATGTTTTAAAATGTCGAGAATTGGCCGCAGCTGGCATGCGTTGTGAGGTAGAGTAGCACTTGTCAAAGGGGTCGCTCAAGCTATATAGCGCTGAGGATGGGAGCGACCATAGGAAAGGTGGGCAAACTAGAGCATCCAGAACACCGGGAGTGCTGAAGAGCGGCAAGTAAGCCGGAGAGAGTTTAATTTTTTCCTCAACTTTTATTTATGTGTTGTCTGCTTCCCTGCCCCGGTATAAGCTTGTTGTTGCACGCATTCATTTCTGTTTAAAATTATGCAAAGGCACCCGAGATCCGAGCAAGACCATCACTCCCGTAGCCGACGAGCCGAAGCCGGAAAAATATCTTGCGTGCGGTCAGATCTCGAGCTAACAACTAGCCTGTAACATTCATTTTGAGTGTAGCGATTCGTTACATAAGGACAGATATCCAATCAAGCTCGGGCGGCAACAACGGCTGCTCCGAAATTAAAACCAAAAATTAAATTAGGAACAACCACAACTCTAAACCAAATGAGTCTTATCAATTGGTGATTTGGATCGGGAAGGAATAATAAATCTACATGGCGACCGTGACATCGATGGACCAGCAATAAAAGGAAGTCGCAAGAACTACATGGCGTGACATCGATGTACCAGAAATAAAAAGTTGCAAGAACTACATGGCGTGACATGGCAGAACATATACTAAAATTGGACCGATACAGAAAAAATTAGCGTGGTGAATGGAATATAAACTTCATGACAGTGAGTAGAGTGTGATGTGTAGGAAACGCAGTGGTATGGTAAAAAATTAAAAGCCAGAAGGGCTGAATTGCTGAAGCTACTAAATAGCGGAAGTAAATTAAATTGGAACAGTTCGGTAAAATTACATGCCGAACTTGATCATATAAAAAATTTATTTGAAAAAAAAAGATGTTTTCAAAATATTATACTAATTACAAATATGTATACCTATACAGAGATGTATTAAGAACTAAAAAAAAAAACAAAAAAAAATAAATGTAAACAAAAATTATCTATTCCTTGAGATAAAATAAGAATAATTTAAAATAAAATATGAATTCAAATTAAAAAAAAGCAGCACAATGTCTAATAGTGAGGCTGACATTAGGAGTACCGACATGAGCGAGGAGATGCAGAAAAGTGCCATTGATTGCGCAACACAGGCTCTTAACGAGTGTAGCATCGAACATGATATTGCCAAATATATTAAAACTGAGTTTGACATAAAATTGAAACCCAAATGGCATTTCATTGTCGGCAGTGAATTCGGATCTTATGTGTCACATGAGCCGAACCATTTCATCTACTTCTATTTGGGCAAGTTAGCCATTTTATTGTTTAAGAGAGGTTAGAAATAGGAAGTTATATATATGATAATGATTTTAGCTTTGTTCTCAAAAATATTCCATTAAATAATGGAATGGGACGAATTGTATAAAGAATTAAATAATATAAAAATTTATTTTGACAAATCCTATAAGCCATTATCAAGAACCCGGCAAGCACAGCAAAATGCTGTGAACAAGCATGCTGAAATATTAGTAGACCGCTTCAACACTGCGCGTATACTAATACACGACCAGAGAGACCGGCTAGACAAAGCCCATTAGTCTCGAGTATCTAAGTTCTTGAACAAATTGCGAGAGAACTTAATATTCATAAAACAAAGGTATAATTTGGCCATTTCAGTGCCAACTATACTAAATACCCCATTGACAATTGAGACGGGTAACGAGTCAGAATTATCAGATCCACCTGCACAGCAGGCTGAGATAGATGATGAGGAAGTAGAGGAAAAAGACATCAATAACCTCACTATTCCCGCAGTCCTAACTCAATCTAAATTGTCAGATCAGGACTTAACAGACTCTGATATCTACGACAGCATTGTTGAGCTAAAACCTACCACAATGGCGGACGAAACCATTGCCCAAAGGGCATACATTAAGGAAATATCGAATGCCATCCCGGAGTTTAACGGGCAAAGGATACATCTTCAGTGATTTGTAACAGCTTTGAAGTTGGTTAACCTTACGAAAGGTACATTCGAGAATTTGGCTGTAGAAGTTATCAAATCCAAAATAATTGGGACAACACTATACAGAGTCCAAAATGAAACTACAATAGAATCCATAATTAAAAAACTGCAAGATACTATAGTCGGAGAAACATCCGACGTAGCTAAACCAAAATGGCAAAAACAAGCCAAAAAGGTAAAACTGCAGAGAAATTCACAACAGAAATTGACAACCTACGTAAGCTCCTAGAAGCTTCGTATATTGATAAAGGCCTATCGGCCGAACATGCTGACAAATTCAGCACAAAGGAAGCCATCACCACAATGGTTAAAAATTGGGAACGGAATATAAAAATTCAATTATTGAAGATCTATGTAAATATTTACATATTAAAAACATAACTTCAACTGCACACCACCACCAGACAGTAGGTACCGTGGAGCGAAGCCACATAACACTCAATGAGTTCATTCGTTCATACATCTCAGTCAACAACACAGATTGCGATGTATGGCTACAGTACTTCGTTTATTGTTTTAACACGACCCCCTCTATGGCACATGACTATTGTCCACATGAGCTAGTTTTGGTAAAACTTCAAATTTGCCAAAACATTTCAATAGCATAGATAGAATAGAACCCATTTATAATGAAGAAGATTAAGGATTCCAAATTTAGACTAGAACAAGCTTTTAAGAGAGCTAGAATAATGTTAGAATCTCATAAGCTAAAACAAAAAGATTAGTTATGACAAAACTAGCTAAGATTTTGATTTAAAAATAGGAGATCAGGTTTTATTGAAAAATGAAACAGGACATAAGTTAGACTTTAAATATACTGGTCCTTATAAGGTAGAACAAATAGGAGATAGAGATAACATAACTATAATCTTCTATCTTCTATATATATAAAAATGAATTGCTGTTCGTTAGTCTCGCTAAAACTCGAGAATGGCTGAACGGATTTATCTTATCTTGGTCTTGAATTATTCGTGGAGGTCTAGGGAAGGTTTAAAAGGTGAGAAAAATTCGATTAATTGCCGGGAAAATCCTCAAAACAGTATTTTTCTATTTCCCATACAAACGTTTTCTAAATAAAACTACCTTACATCTACCGCCCTCTACAGGCAGCCAAAGCATTTCCTGTCAAACATTCAAAACATATTGAAATAAGGAATTGGAGATAAAAATTTTATTTTTTTGTTCAGGTTCAGTAAGAAACGAAGTCCTGCCACCCAAGAAGTAGAGTTTGGGTCGTCGTAAGCGTAATACAGAAGCAAAAAGACGTAAGATTACGAATATAACTGACGAAGAACGGGCCTCCATCCGAGAGACTGAGCGGCTGAGAGCAATGCAGATGCACAAGGAAGAATCAGCAGAAAGACGAGCAGATAAGCTTGAGAGAAAACGATTAAGATCGATTTGATTCACTCTCAAAATAACGCGACAGGGCAAGGGTAGCTGAAGCGCGTTTACAGCTTGCTGAAGATCAGATATAATCCAACTATTGATTACAGCTCGAATCGAATGTCGTTATTGGCCGGATGCATCAGGTCTGCCTCTTAGATTGAATCAGACGAAATTTCGGTCCGAGGAATATATCCATTTGCGGGATGCTGTGATGAATGCTGCAACTCTTTTGAAGGATGGCAAAACTGCTCATTCTACTTTTAAACTTCCACTATTCGTCAATCTTGAACAACAATCTACATGTTCAATACGCAAAAATGGACCTATTGGTAAATTACTACAAGAGGCATCATTGATTATGTGGGACATTGGGATTCTTCATGGAATCACTGATAGCGATTTCCCACAGCAACTGCTAAAACTTGGGGAAGGAATTTTTCCAACTCCAAATTTAAGCGGTCATTGTGACATTCTTCTGGATGAGTCTCTAGGCCAAATACTCCATAATTTGGAAAATTTAATAGATTCTGTATATCCTGATATCAAGAATTTGCACGAAAGAGACGTCCATTGGCTGTGTTCTCGGGCTATAGTATCACCTAAGAATGATACTGTCAATGAAATAAATAATCTGATTGTTCAAAAAGTCCCCGGCCAAACAAAAACATACAAATAGATCGACACTGTAACGAATATTGAAGATGCAGTCCATTATTCACAGGAATTTTTAAATTCGTTGAACCCTTCTGGACTGCCACCCCATGAATTGACGTTAAAAATCGGAATCCCAATCATGCTTTTAAGAAATTTAAACCCTCCAAGCATGTGTAATGGGAGGAGGCTGCTTATTAAGGAGTTAAAGGACAATTTAATTGTAGCAACTATTATCACTGGCCCAGCAAGTGGTCAACTAGCTCATATACCGAGGATACCGATGATCCCAACTGATCTGCCAATCCCATTTAAACGGCTTCAATTTCCGGTAAAAACATCTTTCGCATTAACAATTAACAAGTCCCAAGGCCAAACCTTCGAATTAGTAGGGATCGATCTGCGAAATAAATGTTTTACTAATGGTCAACTGTATGTTGGTCTATCGCGAGTCCGAGCCCCTGAAAATTTATTTATTTTGCTGCCACAAAATAAAACAACATCAAATATTGTTTACAGAGAAGCACTAACTAAATAAATGTAATAAACTCAATAATTGAAAAAAAAGTATGAATATGTGTCATATTATTATTATTATTATGAATGTGTTAAAATTGACTAATCTAAATGTAATGTTTAATTCCCGTGCGAAGCAGGGACGGGCTGTGAAAAGACTGATGAATAACGTCATTGAGGCGACAATCATAAAAGGAAAATACAAAGGAGAGGATGTCTTGATCCCGCGGATACCGATGATTCCAACGGACTTACCATTCGATTTTAAACGGTTACAATTTCCAGTGCGTCTGGCCTTTGCGATGACCATAAATAAATCGCAAGGACAGTCGTTAGAAGTTTGTGGAATCAACTTGGAGTTTCCCTGTTTCGCGCATGGACAATTATACGTCGCTTGTTCGCGCGTCGGAAAACCGTCTTCTTTGTTTATTTACGCACCACAAAACAAAACAAAAAATATAGTTTATGAGAAAGCTTTAAATTAATTAACAGACTGTATTTTAACAGTGTGTGTCTGTGAATATCAAATTTAAACCTTATAAATAGCCAGTATTTCAGGATGAGGCAGTACGAAGTCTGCCGGGTCAGCTAGTAAGTAATAAAACAACAATAAAAACAACTAGTACACAAGGATAGATTAAAACCTTTTATTTCATAACAAATTTAATCCTTTTTATATTTCACGTATGGCCATATATAGCAATTAATTCTACAATTATAAATAACATACATAGCATAAGTATCATATATACCAATATAAAAAAAAAAATATAAAAAGAAATATATATAAGTATACTTTATTTATTTATTTTTTTTTTAACGATTTTATTTTCAATCTGTCTATATGATAGACAATAAGCAACTTTTTTAACAATCACATTTACAGGAATAGAAAGCTTTCAATAAAGCTTACTATTATATTACATACTATTTATAGTTTTACAAATACTGGAGATCGAGGACATGTTTTCTTTTAAACCTTCCAATTTCTGAGCTGTTATTTTCCTATTTCATCTTTTACAAATGGGATATTCAGGTCATTATGCATGTTTATATTTGTCACATAAAAAGGAGCATTTACAATTTTTATTAGCATTTTTGATTGATCTCTATATTTGAGTTACTGGCTGTTCCCCACAGTTGAATACCATACGTCCAGACAGGCTTGAGAATCGCTTTATATAGCAGTATTTTGTTCTCTATGCTGACTTGAGAATTTTGACCCACTAGCCACCAGGTCATTTTGTTAGCTTTTATAGTTAGCAGTTGTCTCTTTGCCTTTATGTGTTCTTTCATGTAAGCCTGCGATCAAAGTGCATGCCTAGATATTTAACCGTGTCACTTTGTGGAATAGGTGAGTTATTGAGTCTCACTTCTGGGCAGTTTTCAGCTCTTAAAGTAAATGTTTTCTGTACAGACTTAAGCGGATTTACTTTTATTTTCCATCGCTGAAACCACTCTTCATTAAGGTCGAGCTTGTGTTGTAGATATTCAGATGCTTCTTCTCTTTGGGAGCTATTTGCTATGATGGATGTGTCGTCTGCGTAGGTTGCTACTCTTACATTATTTGCAATCGGCATGTCAGCAGTGAATAGTGTATATAATACAGGACCTAGGACGCTACCTTGTGGGACGCCAGCATTTATGTTTACTATTGAAGAAGCCCCCTCTCTTTGCGGATCGTAGAAGCGGCGTTTATCGAGATACGATTTAAGCAGCAAATAGTATGGTGCAGGCAGCTATTTTTTTATTTTATAT